CTGTAAACGCGATTTCCATGACTTCGTCAACAGCGAAGTTGAAGAGGAAAGGTGACAGCGGGCATCCTTGTCTCACGCCGCTGGGGATACTAAAGGGCGACGACAACTTGCCGTAAGCCCTCACCCTGCCCGAGCTACGAGCATATAATGATCGGATAATATTCACATATTTCTCGGGCACACCTTTCTTGGGTAGACAGCCAAAAGTGCATGTCTATCCACCCCAATTGAATGCACCTTTGATATCGAGGAACACGACAATTGTGGGCCGCCAATATACGTGACGGTGCTCCAACAACTGACGCAAGGTGAAGATGTGGTCAATGCAGCCACGACCTCGAAGAAATCCAGCTTGCTCTTCACGAATCTGGCTTTCACGAGTGCCAGTCAGTCTGTGAAGGATGACAGAGGCAAGCAATTTGGAGGCGATAGAGATCAGACTGATTCCTCTATGGCTGCCGCATTCCGATCGTGCGCCTCCTTTGAAAACTGGGACTATGACGGAGCGGCTCCAATCGGTTGGGCAGTTTCCTGCTCCCACAATTTGACTAGTAACTCGTGTAAATCATCCATAAGAGCAGGTCCCCCGAATTTGAAGAGGGCTGGAGGAAGATCATCTGGTCCCACGGCTTTATTTAACTTCAACAGTTCGATCTCACGTTCGACTTCTGAGCGAGAGGGTGGATCCAAAGGGACAGCCCACGGAGCAGGGCGATCACTGGCCGGCGAGAAATCTAACAATTCCGACCGATTAAATTGTCGTTCAAAGTGCTCAGCCCAACGCTCTAAACGTTTTGATAAGTTGTGGAGAGGCTGTCCACTCTCGTCACGTATAGTTTCACTAACACTAGGTCTCCTGCTGCCCGTTTCCCGTATCAGACGGGATAACTTACGATGGCTACCAAGGGTAGCGGCCATTTCCATCTCTGTTGCACGATTAGACCACCAGGATTCGCGGTCTCTCTTCGGGCTAGCACAGAGTTTTGCCCGGAGCTCTTTGCGAGTTCCATTGTATTCGCTTCCAGCCGGAATATGCCGGCGAGCAAATATGAGTTCCAGAGACTTTGAAGAGACCCAATGTCCATGTTGTCGATTAGACACACCACATGAGGATTTTCCTGCTGCTAGTAAGGTCTGGTGAATATGAGACCAGTGAGCTTCAATTGCATCCGGTGAGTGTTTATCCAACTCGCATGACAGCGTACTTTGATAGGCATTCAGAACAGCTGGCTTCGCCAGTTGGCTGGTGTCAATGCGCTCACAACGTCGTCGTGGACGCCCGCAAAACCCATCCGAATGTCAGCACATACAAGTGCATGGTCGGTGTCCACACCTGTGCTCCAAATCGAGCGACAGTTCTGGACGCAGCCTCTCCAGCGGTAACTTATCGCAATGTGATCGATTTGCGTCCATAGCTGGTTCGAGGCTGGTGGGCGCCAAGTCACCTTTCGGCGGGTGCTGTGTCTGAAATTAGTGCTCGCAAGAAATAAGCGAGCATCCTCACACAAATGAAGTAACCGCTCACCGTTATCATTACGGAGCCTATACCATGTTGGCCGCCCAGATGCAGCTCATCAGTGGGTAATTTTCCAACTTGAGCATTCAGATCCCCAGCCAGCACAACAGTATCCGAGCTTCTTCTGTGGCTAAGGAGCTCGTTCAGTTGACCATAGAAGTCGTCTTTTACCGAGTCATCGCTACAGTTTGTCGGTGCATAGGCAGCGATGACGAATAGACACCTATTAGTCCCACGTGACTTCGAAGCTTTGAACGAGCCAGCCAATCGGACCGCACACATCCGGCTACTGATTGGAATCCAATCAACCAGAGAAGCTTCAGCCCGGGGACTCAGGGAAATACCAACACCGGCTTGGCCGGTGCTCGAAGTTGCATCGTCACCGGATAGGCGCAACGAGAAAGTGCTGCTAGTGCCACCTGAAGGGGATCGTAGAGTGATCACAGAGCTCGAGTATTGCAGGCGGGTCTCCGATAAGCAGCAGATATCAATCAATAGGGTCTCTAATGTGCATTTACGCGTAGGGCAGAAAACTCCGAGAGCTTGATGGAGGCCAATGCTTCTTCTCTCCAAACCCCAAGCGTAAATTCTGGACTACGTGTGATACTTGCGAACGTGCGCAGTCTCAGGAACAAGCTAGATGAGATTCACCCCCTTAGATCAGAGCAGCGACTAGATCTAATAGCGTTCACAGAGACCTGGCTATCATCAGAAATGTCTGACTCAGAAGCTCAATTTCCAGGTTATCAGCTCTTTCGATCTGATCGCTCCAGTAGGAGATCTGGAGGTGGAGAAATCCTTTATTCCAAATCCTACCTCAAAGGCAACGTTCTTAAAACGGACTGCGACAACGATGGTACGTCAGAAGTACTCTGGCGTGGAATTCACGATGGCTTCCAGTCGCTGACGGTCGGAGTACTCTACAGATCCCCATCAACATCTGGCTCCTACCTCCTGCACATAGTGAAAAATAATGCGTAGGGCACGAAATGTCTGTTTGTGGGGGATTTCAATGCCACCGGCATCAACCGGGACCTTCTTTATAGTGACCTGCCCAGAGTCCTTTGAAGCTCGTCTACTAGACACCGTCCTCGAACGTAACCTTACGCAGCACGTGCTAACACTATCACGGATGCTCCCAGCTCCCAGTCTAGACTTGGGACTCACTCCGGCCCCATCTGACGTCTCCGACCCAAAGATCCTCCATCCGCTGGGCAAGAGTGACCACTCTGTTATCTCCTTCCAGTGAACACGATTCCTTAAAATTAATGAACAGAGGTCACGTCGTCGCAACTTCTGGCGAGCCGACCAATCCAGACTTAAAAGAGCGGCAAGTAATCTGGATTAGGATATACTGCAGTAGTTGGATCTCGACGAAGTATAGCAGCTACTACGATCCAAGATGGTGCTGCTTAACAAAAAAAAACAAGTTCTAAACTGCAAAGTCAGGCCTTACTCTAAAGGCCCCCTCAGACTGAAAGGGAAATCAAACCCCTAATAAAAAACGACGGAAACGGTGGGATAACTACAAGTCCACACAACTAGCATCGAGCTACTCAGAGTAGAAGGCTGTAAGGAACCTTTGTGCCCTGAAAAAGCGCAACAAGCGACTCCAGTACGAACATAGCCTGGCCACAGAATCTCTAATTTGTCCCAAGAAACATTTCTCATACCTGAAAAGAAATGTCAGCGCGGGTAGTGGGATCCCCACGCTAGCCTCAGAGGAAGACACTGTGCCTCACGATGATGAGGAAAAAGAAAACATATTAGCTTCACAGTACCTTTGGTTTACTCACTGGCGCCCCACTGCAGAGAAACTCTGCCAGCACACTATCCCTCTGTTGATCAAATCGTAATCAACCCTGAGGTGATGAAGAAACTCCTCACATCGGATCTGAACTCCTCTCCTGACCAAGATGAGCCACATCCTGTATTCCTTAAGACTATGGCCGATTACATAGGTGATCTCCTCTGCCAAATGTTTTGCCACTCCCTCGAAGTCGGCCGTTTCCTCACTTACTGGAAAGAAGTTACAGTGATGTCCAATTGCAAAGGCGAACACCAGCAAGATCCGGCGAACTACCGCCCAATCTGCTTGATATCCGTCGTCTGTAAGACCATGAAACGAATTCTCAAACGCGCGCTCCAGCTACACTGTGAGAACTACGACATAATTTCTCCATCTCAACATGGTTTCCGGAAAGAAGGTTCCTGCGTCTCCAACTTGCTAGTCGCCAGTGAAACTTGGGCACAAGCCTAGCTGTCCAAAAACATTGATGTGGTCTTCATCGATTTCAGCAGAGCCTTTGACAAAGTTCCTCACCAAAGACTGCCGCTCAAACTTCAGATGAGTGTGACGGGCAAAGTCCTCTAGTGGATTGCCGACTTCCTAAGAGATCGCAGCCTACGCGTAAAGGTTAATCAAAACACATCTGCCCATGTGCTAATGACAAGTGGGGTTGCACAATAATTCGTACTTGGAGGAATTTTCAAAATGTAGATAAATGACCTACCGGTTGCACTCCAAACCGAATGCTTGGTCTACGCTAATGATCTTAAGTGCTGATCAACAATATCCAGCCTAGACGATGCCAACAAATGACAAGAGGCCCTAGATAGGTTGCACGAGTGGTCTACCAAGTGGCGATTGCTAGTAAATCGCGATAAATGTGAGGTTCTCACAATCGGTGACACTAACCCATACGGCACATACTACAAGGATGGATTGCTTTTCAAGACCACTCAAGAGAAGGATCTCGGTGTCATCGTATCCTCTGACTTCAGGACGTCCCAGGACACATTGAATGAGGCTGCAGCTGCAAAGAGACTTCTAGGTGCTTTTAAGTCGTTCTCCCGAATGACACGTGAGATCCTCAGACTTCTATTTACCGCATGCGTACGTCCCACATTAGAATATGCACAGCCAGCCGCTTTTCCCTCTTTAAGCTTGAATGCTCTTTGATAGAGTATGTCCAGAGGCGTATCGTCGGGCTCCGCGATATACCTTACCCTCTCCGACTTCATAAGCTGAAGCTGTTTTCCATGGAGTTTCGTTGCCGCCGCGGCAAGCTCATATACACTAGACGCATCCTTATTGGTGAACTCGAAAATGAGCTACGGCAGTTCTTTTACTCCAACGCCGACTGTTCCACAGGTCACTAATGGGAGCTGTTCAAAGCAGGAAGGCTGCGCGCTCGCTGACATCACCTTGTCCATCCGGGTGGTGAATTAGTGGAAGTTTACCTAAGGAAATTATTGACACCTTGGGAGGAATGTATTAAGAGGTCTTTAATGAAGACACTGGGATTCTGCTGCTCCCGCTGCAACTGCGACTAGCCCTCGAGGAAGGTCGTCACACCACGATATGTAGCTATCCCACAGTGAATAGGAAACGACAGAGATAACAAGGGTTCTTCCCTCTTCTCTCTATGATCCAATGAACCAATGAACAACCCAGTAAAATGGTTAGGTGTAAAAGACAAACCTTTATATCTCTGTGTATACGTCCAGCTCTGTGCATATACTCAATACCCCGCAAAGTTTCGCCCGTGACGAAAGCAATGCATTTTTCATCTATGGGTCGCCGAATGTCTGTACGTTGAAGCATAAACAAATGATTGCAAATTACTTGTGTAAATATCCTGCATAGAAAAGCCGCCACAAAACTCCATACATATCCAAAGTTTATTATTCCTGGAAATAATCAATAAGAGAAAGAGGAAACTTACCTAAAATAACTACCAAAGTATTGCACAATGTTAGAATGTCTGCATTCCCTAAGGGTTTGTATCTCCTGTAAAATAGCCAGGATGTCATCCTTGGCATCGATTTTTATTATCTTAACAGCAGCAAGTTCTTTTGTTCTAAGACGGAGAGCCTTAAGAACAAATATTGAGGAGTGTCGAGCGATACTTTATACACTTCGCCATATGTGCCAGTTCCTATGCTCTGTATGAGTTTATACTCCTCTTTAGGGTCGTTATCGTTCACGAGCTCCCGGATATATCCAAGTTTTTGTTCGCTGAGTTCTATTCTTCCCGCCATGAGCGGAAAACAGCATCACCCTAACATCTTTGGGACAGTATCGACCGATAAAGTATCAGGTACAGGTAAGACTAAAACAGTATGAGAAGACTGCGCATAGCATCGACCTTTAAGTGCAACCTTGAACGAAACGGAAAGTTAATTCAGTAGCTTTTCTTTGACCAGAAGGCACTTCCAACTAAATCGAATAAGTATTAAATTCGTGATCATTAGATCAGTAGATGATAGAGAGCAGAAGGAAGTTCCTTTGTCAGCTCCCTCACTTCTTGATCATTGCGGAGATGGCGTGAGTCGTTGTGGCACAACGTTCCGCAGAGAATCAATGTAGCTGGCTTAGAGGCAGCAGAATCCCAACGCACTCGGGTGAAAATCCAACAGTTGTTTGGAACGTTTCGCTGTCTCAGCATCAGCAATAGGCTCCGGCAACCGGTTCCAATAATTCTCTACGCGAGTTGATAAGGACAGATTAAGCCACACGCGGAGATTCTTTGGTCTGCACAGTTACAGCTGGTGTCCACGTGTCAACCTCACGGTGTTGAGTTGAAGGAAGTCTTGTAACTCGCAAGGCAGTTCTCCTGTGAGAATACGTCTGGTGAATATCAAATCTCCGCGGTGTCAGCGGTGTCGGCGGTAACCTAGGGAGAAAAAGTTCAGTCTTTGCAATCGGAGTGGATGCGACAGGTCTCGCAACTCGGGGACGGATTTGGATTCACACCGTTGAACCTTCTCTAGCATAGCACCTTCGAATTTGGTGATAGGCAGTGGGTCGTCAGTATTCGAGAATCGGGCGTACATGCAAGACAAAGAGGAGTCGGAAAAGCCCCGGGGTAGGGAGAGAAAACCGTCCACATACAGAGCGGATCATCCTGTAGCCGCGGCGACCCTGTTTTGAGAGTATTGAGTATAATTGAGGTCTGGTGACACAATCATTCCAAGATCCCTCGCGTGGGTTGCGCTTCTGAGCAAGGAACCACCAAGGTGATAACTTCCAAATGGGTTAGCCAAACCAACGGGGAGAGCAGAGCATTTATCACGGATTACGAGCAACTGCCACTTACTCGACCAATCATGGAGTAGATCGAGCGCAGATGTAATCTTTCCGCGTCTTCAGTGCTGGATACTTACATCCACAGCTTTAGGCCGTCAGCGTAGATTAGGCAATTCGTCGGAAGCGTAGGCGCTAGGTCGTTGATGAAGATATTTTAGACCATGGGAGCGAGGAAAGAGCCCAGTGGAACTCCACTCTTCATGAGCACTGGAGCAAACTAGTGGCATTAACCGTCACGTGAACGGAGCGGTCGGTGATCCAAGACAATAGGTTCCCAGCAATACCTTGAAGTTTAAACAGAAGCCTTTCATGCGGGACTTTGTTAAGAGCTTTGCTGAAGTGAACAATTACAACGACCAAGCTTTTGCAGGGTCTAGCGACCTTTCCCAGGCCCCTTTAACAACGTGCAAGTTCGAGGTACAGGAGCGTGCTTTTCGGAACCCATGCTGGATATAAAAATGACGTTGTCCCTCGAGCTGAAGATTAGCAAACTGTTTTAGAATCCGGCTGGCCGAACAACCTCCTCGTGGTGCCAGCTGGGTGGATTGGGTTTACCCCTTCCAGCAAATAGTTCGGCGGCAGTGTTCCAGGACGTGGTGGGTTTCCGCCTGGCAAGCGTTCTCCCTATAAAAAGCCACAAATGTCCGCTTAACAACACTGTGACGTGGCGGTTGTGACTCGCCACCAACTAAAGTCACCCATTGCTTATCCGGACGACCGCTTCAAGTCCACAGCCATCAAGCACCCATTTAACACTGGCCACACGTTCAAGCACGATCAAAAAGACTGGAATACATTTACGAACTCCATAAACACGGCTAAACACGCCCACATACACACTTACATACATTTATATAACAATCTATGTGACAATCTCATTGATCCATTGTACATTGACTGATCACAGTTTGTACTCTTAACATGATCATGTCTGTGCAGACGTGCCTCGCTCAGTCGAGAATAAACATTTTATTTATTTATTTATTTATTTATACGCATTACTGACGTCAAACAGATTGGACGATAATTGGCCGAATATGGTCGACTTCCTCCTTTGTGGGTGGGTTTGACAATACCTACTTTCCAAGCCGACGGAAGACGGCCAGCTTCTAGTGAGCGTCGAAAGACTTGACATATGAGTGAAGCCATGTACTCCGCCACAGTCCTGAGGAACAAGGGATGCAATCCATCAGGGCCGGGTGTGCTGTACAGATCTAACTGCAGAAGTAGTTTCATCACAGAAACAGTGTTAATATCTACTTGATCCAACGAAGATAGAAAGGTGGTTAAGGCTATGTCACTAAATAGTTTTTCTTTCTCTTAAACAGAAGCGTATTGCTTAGCCAACTGATTAGCTTTCTCAGCGTCCTCGCGAATTAAATAAATAAATAAATAACTCTTTTATTCTCAACAAGGTGAGGCACGTCTTTACAGGCATGATCCTTTTCACATAACGATGTATGATCAATAATATGCAAAAATCCGATGTTTGCCATAGCAGTTTGTGTTTGTGTTGGGGGTATGTATGTATGTCATTTTGTGTGTATGTGTATGTAGCTGTTTATTTTGTGCATGTAGTTGTGCTGCTCCAATCTTCAATGCTTGATATCGTCATCCATATGCGAGTAGGAGATTGGTGTCGGTGAGTTGTATAGAATTATCCAGATATTCACGGGGCAGCGACTTTATTTTGTGACGAGTCACGACCGCCACGTCACGGTGTTGTTAAGCAGACATTTGTATTTTTTATAGGGAGAACGCTTGCCAAGCGAAACCCACCACGTCCTGGAGCACTGCCGCCGAACTATTTGCTGGAACGGGTTAAACCCGAACCACCCAGCTGACACCATGAGGAGGTTGTTCGGCTAGCCAGCACCACAAAGCGGGGATGCCATTACCATCTCTAGTGCCGCTTTTCAACCAAGAGTAGAGCAGTATAAATAAATAAATATTTTATTCTCGACAAAGTGAGGATAGCCTTTTGGGCTTGATCAGCATATTGCAACGTTGCACGTGATAGTATGATTAGCAGAACCAGGCGCGGGACTAGTACAGATGAAATCAGTTGTGCGGGCCCATATGGCCCAAAGGTTGTAGAAAGGCTATGTTCACAGAATGCCAGATGTAGAGATATGCATCAGATAACTTATGTGTAGTAAGTTGATGGGGAACTAGTCCGCTGAGGCTGTGTACACAGTGCGGGTCAGCTGAGTGAAGCATGAAAAAAAGCTGCAAAAATATTTTATGAATAGTGGCATGCAACTTATCAAATATGTAGGAGTGTTCGTAAGAGAGCAGATATATGCACAAAATTTGTAAATGTGCTACCGGTCAACTTGCCAATGTATGATTGTGGCGGTGACTTTATTGAGTGGCGAGTCACATCCGCCAAGTCGCAGGGTTGTTAAAAAGACAGTTGTGGCCTTTTGTAGGGACAACGTTTGCCAGTCGAAAACCCACCACTTCCTGGAACACTACCGACTGGTGATATGACATCGACAAGAGTGCATCTGAACGATTACTCACGCGAATATTCGCAATCACGTTTCACTGATTTGTTTCCCATGGTTAGGTAGTCTCCTTCGGAGTCGACTGCAAATGGTTGGAGATGCTGAAGCCAGATGACTCGGGTGACTTGTATTGATTTGATTATTTTCCGGGTTTTTTAGTGTGCCAGGATTGCGGAGTGCAAGTGCTTGTTTTGTTGCGTGTTGATTCCGTGTCCAGGTGAGCTTCGCAAGTACGTCCTCAAAGGTGTTCAATGCAGATAATGTTTTCCTTTAGAACAGGAGAGAAAAGAAAAGCGGACCGAGCAAACTGCCACGGAAGTTAAACAATACTATGTTAAGGGATAAATATAAAATTTATGATAACGTTGTGCTGTGTAAAAGCAATGGAATGACCGAATATGTTATACATCCAATCCGTAGTTTTGTGTGCAAGCACGAGACCCGATATTTGTTGAATGTGAGAGGCAACTGTTGTCTGAATTGGCCTAGCGTACGCAAATGCTGTCCTGTGCAAAAGCCGAGAGTATCTGCCGCGATCCTGGAGCGTTGTGCCAAGGGCAGTTCGTATTGTCGGTATTTCTGATGCTCCATAGCGACACAAACGTTTCTGACAGTCTTGTAGTGAATGTAGTCGGGTTCTGCTTGAGTTTGCCTAAGGCGGTCCCATAATTTGCGCCTTCTATTCATAGTTAACCTCAATTCTCTATCCATTCAAGGTGCATCTCCAGTGAAGGACTTTCGATGGGAGGAGGAAACGACCGGCTCAGCCAATGACGTCCTTTTGGAAAGTACTAGATTCCACGCGTCATCGAGGTGAATATGTTCAGTGATACCTCAAGCCGTTGCTCCTGCGGCCGTTTTCAGACGGAGTGAATCAGCACACCAAAAATTCCGTCGCTGACTACTGTAGCTATGGATCCTGAGACGGCAAGCCCGGTGAAAGGAAATACCACAATGCTCGCTCTTGCCTATGGGTTGAAGTGCGGTTAGTTTCGTGACATCCAACTCTACCACGGATAGCACGAAATCTAGGATGTGCGGGTCTGGTCTAGGTAACTACGCGTAGGCGTCAAGACATGTTAAACGAGGCTGCAGGCACGAGCGGTATTTAGCAATGTGGCATACAAGGAGTCCGATCGGCGATCACAAAGAGGTAGGTACCAATCTAAATCCGGTGCATTAAAATCCCCAAGATTAGACGGTTCTTGCGCCCACCGTTTATTCCTAACGAGCCCAACAAACGCGCTCCAGGGCCCGATGGCGCTCTGTAGACGACACCGATGATGATGAACTTTCCTTTATCACTTTTGCTAGCTCAGAAGGTCTTTGTGAAATGCTCACTATGCCGGATGTGTGTCAATGGGTCCGAATTAGAAGTGGACGGGGCACGGATGACCGCGACTTTTGGAGTTTCGCTGAAAGCTATGCAGCTCCGCATTCTGGCATGCCTAGCAGAAGAAGCGGCGGAACGTCTTACAGAGCGTTGATGCGGCGGACGCCTTGCCAATGCAGCAGTATCGATGCAATATCGACCAATTAATAG